TGGCAAGACAGCCCCAAGGGTTTCCCTCGGCACCAATCTATCTTGTGTTGCAGTGATTTCTACAGGGACAATTTATCTTCTTTGTTGTGCATGTGGCTCATATAGAGTGGAACACAGGCCCTGGATCAAATGGGCCGATGCCGGCGCGGAGCGGAGCGATGGCATCAGCCTTGCGCGGGTTTAATTCACTGTCTGGTTGTTAGGGACGTTGAATGGGTTGGGGGTGCGGGGGCAACACCCCCGCGGTACGGTACAGGAGTATTTTCTGTACGGGCCTTAAAGTCTTTTATGGGCCCAGGTTAGGGTTAGTATAAATAATATGTTGTAACCCTATTTTTCCACAATTGAATAAAGAAATCTCCACTTCGCTCTCGTGGACGTAGGCACATCGCCGAACCACGTAAAATTCTTGTGTTGATTTCCGTTTTTCATCTCTTTAATTTTGCGTATAAAATCCAACATTCTTCTTTACCAAACTTGGAAGGTAATTTGATTCTACTGTTGTGAATGATTTAATTTCAACACTACTTAAGGTTCCGTTCAGCTTTGTCTCCATTGTCACTCTGGCTCCTTAGAATTTATTTACTTTTCAGCAAAGTTGTTGTTTCTTGATGGTAATCCACAACGATTTTTGATATGATTATTTAGGGTTTTTCTCCTGCCTTTATGCCACTGAAATATAATCTATAAAATACACAGGACCAAAATCCTGTGGGGGCAACTCCCCCCCCCCCCCCCCCCCCAAACCCCCCCCCCGGCCCCCCCCCCTGAAAAAAAAAAAACCCCTGGTGGCTCCCTCCCTTGGTTTGTTCCACGGGTATAGTTCTCATTTTGAAACAGTTTGCCTGCAAATCGAATGAAACATCCACCGTCATAAATTATCATCAAACGTCTACCTGTTTGTCGTTTTAAGTTTTCACCTTGCCAAGGTTGGTTTGAGCAAAAATTACAATTCTAATTTCAGGGCCTGGAGTTCACAGTTTGAAGAATTGAAATGAAGAAACCTGAGCCTGCAATTGCAACTTCGAATAAGATCAGATTCGATGATGGGGATACCCATGAATCTTCTGAAGATGTATGTATTTTGGCAACAATATGTTTATATCCCCCCTCCCCACGCACCCGAAATTGTTTCGAGTGACTCTGTTAGTAGCCCTGTGTCCTACAAATCTTGTTATTTCTACATTTAGTTATTAGCATGGGCGTGCATGCAAAACTATAAAAATCTGTGTGCATATACGGTTGCTGGCAAATCCATGCTTGATTTATACATTCCACTCTTATTTTGAGTGATTGTTTGTTTAAATCCTCGTTTGCTTGAAGCTGAAATTGGTAATAATCAACAATATTACTAGAACTACCTACAATAATGAATGAAATGGATTTATTTATGGTGGTTCAATTTTTTTTATCCCTGGTTCCATAGTAGCAAGGATAAAGATTGAGAAATAGAAAGTTTCTATTTAATTAGTTTTTGATGGCCATTAAATGTTCGTCTCAACATAATCCCTTTGTCAAGACTAGTACACACGAGCTTGAAGGATCAGGACCAATTTTGTAACATCTAAACTGAGATATAACCGACTTCTTTCGAGTATCAAATAATGTTTTCATTAACCTATTGCTTTAATAATATGAATTGAAGTCAATCCACTAAAAAAATATATCGAATGAGGATTCTTCTGTTTGCCTTACCTATTTTGAACAAAATAATACTTTATATCCTCCCTAAGGATTAAACCGAGTTATTAAATTTTCTATTTGATATATTTTAATATCCAAGATGGGATTCCCGTGTACTTATTTTCTATAGTAATCCATGTTCCTCTTTATTCTTTTTATCTACGGAAGAGTGGTTATAAAATCTTTGGTTGACTAGTTATTTGTATTAAATGACCTAAAATTTGTACCATTTTTATGAAACTTTTGGATTTTCTAGTGACTCTGATAAGATTCTAACTGGAAGAAGATCAAAACACAAAACTGTATTGAATTCAAAAGGGATTACAGAGAATACAAACAGAACGCCAGTAACTAGACTCTCTTTAACTCTCAAATTGCCTACCTATCCCTTCATGCCTACCTCTATAACCCCCCACTTGCTCTGTAACAGAATGCCGCTATTCTCTTTTAGTTGCTTCTCAATCCTTCTTGTTTCTTCTAGCATAGGTATACTTGATAGGTGGCCTATCAATACCCCGGGGATCCAAAGACACCTTGTCCTCAAGGTGGAAGTGTGATTCAACTGCAAAATTTGGAGTATCATGTATCTGAATCCTTTCTTTGGCACGAATCCATTCCGCGGCCAATGTAGAAAAGGAATATTTCAATCCAACGGATAGGGCCAACTAACTGACTATTGGTAGTATAGTGCCCAAGCAAACTCCATAGCCCATCGTACCCAACCACAAAATTTCCATGTGCTGCAATTTGTTGGTCGGAATAAACTTGAGGATAGCCCCACCCTCCAGCATCACGACAATTTTCGGGTGATGAATCGGGGTTCTCTCTGACAGTCACTGTTCGTGTGTAAAAAGGTGCGCTAGTCTTCATCTCTCCATGAATTGTCCCTGATTTCCATGCTGAAAACTTCTCAGAAATATTAGTCTCCGAAACACTCCTAATCCATCTCTATCCATAATTGTATTCATGGCAATCTTTTGGAAGATTAAGTGCTGCTACAGTTTTCTTGATTTCTTCAATTGACTGCAACATCTTAGTCATGCCCTGTTTGAGGTGTGCCACTGACCTCTCTATGCCTGATAAGCACCGCATCTCAAATTTCAATTCCTTCATCTTCTTCTCCATTACTTCCACTCTGATTTCTATCTTCTTTTGGGCCATCAGATTGAACATTTTCTGATACCAATTGATAAGGTTCTAACTAGAAGAAGATAGAAACAAGAATTGTATTGAATTCAAAAGGGCAGTAACTAGACTCTTTTACTCAAATTGCCTACATATCCCTTCATGCCTACCTCTATATATAACCCTTTCCCTAACAGATTAATTCCCCCCACTTGTCCTGTAACAGAATGCTGTTATTCTCTTCTAGTTGCTTCTCAATCCTACTTGTTTCTTCTAGCATAGGTATACTTGATAGGTGGCCTATCAGATTCTTATTTAAACCTCCGTCTATTTCCTATTAAGTCTAGTTAACATTTAATTTGAATAGGAGGAGGAGGAGGAGGAGATTGAGCGGGAGCTTGCCGATGTGACATTCGAAGAGCTGCTGAGAGCTTGGTCTGATGGATCGGAGATGGTGTACAGGAAGCCCAATGCAGAGAAAAACAGCAGCCGAGCCAATAAGAACAGGTTTTTTCTTGTCATGATTGCTTGAAATATTTAGACTTTTGTGGTTTTGTAATATTATTTGCTAAATTTTTATTACTGTAATTGTCAAGACCTATGGAGATGAGCAGCAAGAAGCCTGTCAGCAGATTCAGAGAAGTCGTCCAAGTTCCAAAGAAAGTGGGTTTTATTTTCTTTTATTATTATTATTATTTTTGAGTACAATGCTGAGGGGAAATGGTTGGAAGGATTCGAACTGCCACCACGAATGTGGGAAAAGCCTACAGATGCCACTAGACCAACATGCAACGGTAGAATTTTACTATTTTGATTTGTCATGCAACCGGTAGAATCTCGAAATTTAAACATCTGTATTCTGTATAATGGATACTTAAAAATGTAAAAGTGGTAATAGAAAAATATTGTGATGTCATGGTTTGTTTGTGTGACTTTCTTGGGAACCTGGAATCTACTTGCTCTGTTCGCACAACCACTTTAGGCCCTGTTGGTAGTTTTACTTGCATGTTGCAAAGAATTATGTTTCTCGTTGTATTTTGTTCATTTTATAGTTACATTGTCACTTATTCTTGCTAAAGATCTTCTCGTTGTGGATTTGCAAATATTATTTTTGGTGAAACCATTCAGTATGTATGTATGAACAAAAACTTTGTTTAATGCAAATTCTAATAGTCTTTAGATGAAATTAGCAATATAAGAATTACTTTTGCTGTAGCTTCATCATTTTCTGATTTCTTTTACCCTGTCTTTGCAAAAGCGCTCTGCTTTAAATTGATTTGCACTTTATTTCAGGTGGCACGTGATCCTCGTTTTGAATTATTGTACAGTGAACTTGATGTAGAAGGGTAAGCTTCATTTCGTCAGACACTCCTATTTTGCCTACTGTATGTAAACGCATGCGTGCACATCTGCACACTTTGAACGATTTTAATTGATATGATTATGATTCGTACATATTTGATGGACCATATTTGATCTTGATAGTAGAATATAGGCATAGATCTATGAAACTGTTACCTTTCGGGAAAAAAAATGTGAGTTTACGTTAAAAGCTTAATTATAAATCTCATAAATCTTTTTTGATCATTTTTCCCTGCCTTTTAAAATGAACAGTTGCTTCCATTTGTCCTTTCAATTTATTTATTTCAAATCTAGAGTCCATCTAAGGTAGAGGCTTGTACATCATATTTGGTTCTTAAATGGATGGACAATAATGAACTCTGGCAAGTGTACTCATTCCTTCCATCACGGAAGCTTCTTGTGCTTTGCTTTTACCTCGTGTACTCATTCCTTCAATTGGGGCTGCACTACGGCCCCTCACCTCATTTTCCAACTTAGTGCCATGACATTCCTACGTCATGCCAAGCCTCAAGTCACCTCCTTGCGGTCCGTGACATATGTCTGTATTCTGGTTGCTTAGTATGCTATTAGTGTCTGTTAGCTTGGCTGGACTTGAAAAAGAAGAATTTTTTATTTCCACTCGAGTTTCTTAGTATTTATCTTGTGGTACAACTCGGAACTTGAAAAATGAATTGCCTGCTGAGAAAAAGGTAGCATTTCGGTGTTTTAAATAATTATATGATACTGCTTTTGTGTCAGCTTCTGCCAAATTGATCACTCTTTTTGGCATCTGTAGGCATTAAAGAAAAGGATGAAAGAAGA